ATATATATATAATAAATATTTAATATGTGAAAAATAGTAATACTGGTTAAACATGAATGAATGTGTACAAGAATTTTTCTTAAGATTTTTTTTAACGTGAGTAGTTTTAGGAATTCTTTTTAATTCTTATCTAATTTAATTATAATATTGTGGTATAATATAAAATATTTATTATAAATCTAAAATATGTTTTATATGTTTAAATTAAGCTAAATTATATTTGATTCTTTATTTTATTATTTAAATTTATTTTGATCTTTTATTTGTCAAAATATTTATTTTAGTCATTTATCTATTATATTTTGATAAATTTGTTCCTCTTAAAAATGATTTTTTTTTTTAATTTTGTGACATGATTTTAAAATAATTTTATTTATTTATTTAAGACATAAAATTAATAACATGATATTCACCAATATGAAAACTATCAAATTTTATTAGTGTTTGAATTCAAAAGTGTTAGATTATTTAATATAATGTTGACTTATGTATTTAAAAATGAATTCTAATAAAAAGATGTTTAATGTAATGGTTGTTAGACTTAAAATATATTAAGAGTCATTGGAGATTATTTTAAAATTATTAAAATTAATTCTCCTTCCCCTTCTCGCTTCATTAAAAGATAATTTTGGCATTAAAGAATTTGAATTTGAAAAACGAAAGTTAAAGAAAGTTATGGAAGTTAAGTTAGTTTTACAAACTAATGTAACTTCTTTCTTCCTTACTCTCTCAAAAGGTTCTTTTTACTTCTTCATAAAACTTGTTTTCATGGAGGAAATTATGAAAACTTAGAATTGCTAAGAAACAAACCATAGGAGGTTTCCATACCATTATAGAGACCTTTTAAAGGAAGTAAGAGAAGGGTAAACAACTTATTAAAACTTTTGTATTGTGTAATGGATCCTAGTATGTTTTCTAAATTTTCTTATAAAAATTGTGGAGTATAAGAATAGTGAAAGACATGTTATCTAATATCCTTTGGAGAGAAATAGAATTTTTTTAGTAGTGTCTAAGTAAAAATATTTTCTAAAGTTAAATTTGAGAATGGAGAGCTCTACTAAGGTTTCTATCTTAGAGGAAGAAATTTCGAGTCAATGCTACACCAAAAAAGTAAAGACAAAATCTGCTGATGGAGAGGTCGATGCTACTATGGTTGATCATTCAGATACTGATCCAGGGCTATCTGGTGCTAAACGCTCTTATGCTGAGAGTATTTTTTCAATGGGAGGTGGACGATTCTTTAATGATTATAATAGTCTCTTAAAAGAGATGGATAAGTTTCAGGAGATTATCAACGAGGATAATGTTTCCTTGAATGGTATGGATGTAGAGTTGGACCCCTGTCCTACAATCAATGTTATCCAGGAAACATTTCAAGAATGGTGCAACCTTTGGAAAAATGCCTTAGTTATCAACGTACTAGGGAAAAAAGGTTTTGTTCAAGGCCTTAAAAGCTAAGATCAATCGTGACTAGGTTAAGATTGGTTCTATTCGCATTATTGATATGCCAAACGAATATATTTTAGTTCAATTTTCAGAAGAAGACTATCGCCATGCTTTATATGAAGGGCCCTAGATGATTGCTAACCACTACATTATGGTGCAACATTGGAGTCCCTTTTTTACAATTACGTCTTCTCAAGCTCGAAAGGTTGCTACCTGGATTCACATACCAGGATTACCCATTGAGTTATATAACGACCACTTCCTATGGTAGGTTGGGAACAAGCTAGGCTCCATGCTTAAGATTGACCGTTTAACCTTGATACACTCTCGAGGAAAAATTGCTAGAACTTATGTTGAAGTTAATCTTGGACAGAAACTGGTTTCAATGATTAATGTTATGGGGCATGTCATTAAGTTGGAGTATGAAGGGCTTCACTCCATCTACTTTCAGGTGTGGAAAATATGGACATTGTCAAGATGTTTGTGGTGATCCTTCAATCCCCACTTCAAACGTTGTTGGAGGAGGCATGTAGGTTGATGGTAGCGTTTTGGGAGGTACACCAATGGCAAGGCATTCGAAAGTCAACCCTAATTCAGATGGGCCCAAAACAAAAGCTCCAGTTGTAGCAACTTCTGCTCTGGAATAGGCAGAGCATTATGGGTTGTGGATGTTGGTGAAAAAAGGAAGGAAATCCAATTGTAATCCTATTCACCCTAAAAGACCAAATGGGTATGATTCTAATGATTCAATATCAAATATCAGGATAACTACCCATAGTAACGACTTTGATGTGATCCCTAATTCGGGTCACCAAGAATCTAATAATGGCTTCTTGCCTTAGATAGTGACGTTGCATGATACGGCCCACGTGCAACCCATGCATATTATTCATGACATGAAATCTCCAAAGGCCCAAAATAAAATCCGTAATACCTTAGGAGGGAAAAATCCTTAATCGATGTCGCAACCCGAAAATTTCTGATCTTGCGACCTATGGTTTAGACATCCTTTTGAAAATCTCATCAATTAAGGAATGCTCGGACGCCAGACTAATCCTTAATCAGTGATTTTGAAAATAGGTTCATGGAGTCGCCACCAATATTTTACTCAAAACATTGGAAAAAAGAAAAGGTTTTTAAAGATCCAATAATGGCCTTGATAACCAGAATTGGGTTCGGGGTCAGTTACGTGT